TTTAATTTTACAAATTCTTTTCTTCAACAACAAAATCAAAATTATTTCATCGAAATTTTAATTCCAAAATTATTTCAAAAGAAAACAAATTTAGATTTGAATTCAAATGAAATTTTTCTCAAAGAAAATCTAACAAATCTTCCATTAACAATTCTTCAATTATTTATTTCAACTTCATCTTCATCTTCATCTTTTCCTTCTCTCTTTAATATTTCAATGAACTCAACAACATTATCTTCAACTGAATTAAATTCGTATTTTTATTTAAAACAAATTAATGATGATAATGAACAAAAGTCATTTGAATTAATTCTTAAAAAATCATTTGATTATGAAATTATCAAATTAATTCATTTAGATTTTATTTTAAATCAAAATAATTTTACGAGAAAATCTTTAACAATTTTTATTGAAAATATTAATGATTGTCAACCGACTTTTAATCAAACCAAATTTCGTTTTCAAATCAAAGAAAATTTTCATTTTCCTTTTCTTCTTTATTCTTTTCAAGCTCAAGATCAAGATGATCTAAATAATATTCAGTATTATTTAAAAACCAAAGGTTAGACTTTCTTCTTTTGAACGAGAAGAAAAATGAAATTCTTTTTTATTAAATTTAGATGAAAATACATTTTCAATAAATTCAACAAATGGACAATTTTCAGTATTAAAATCATTTGATCGAGAAATCAAATCAAATTATTCATTATTTATTTGTGCATTTGATCAAATCTATGAAACATGTTCATCGATGTTTATTGACATTCTCGATGAAAATGATAATATTTGTCAATTTAATTCTTCATCAATCACATTGACAATCAATGAAAATCTTCCTCAAAATACATTTTTAATTCAAATTCAAGCATTTGATCTAGATTTAAATGAATTTGGAAAATTATTTTATTCATTTTCATCAAACACAACTTATTTAAAGATCAATTCAACAAATGGAATTATTCAAACTACAAATCATTTATTTGATTATGAAGTAATTCAAAAATATTCAATTTTAATTAAATCTTGTGATAATATCAACTCACTTCCATCTTTATGTTGTTATTTACAATTAAATATTAATTTAATTGATCTAAATGATAATTTACCTTATTTAATTTATCCTTCATCATCATCATCAACTGATGATTTATTTATTATTAATTATACAAATAGAATAATGCCACGTTTAAAAGCATTTGATAATGATATTGTATTGAAAAATCGTTTCATTTTTTATTTTATTATTGGTGGATCACTGAATTCATCAATCACCATTGATTATTATTCGGGACAATTAAATCTTCTCGAATCAAAATCAAATCAACTTCCTATTTATGGGACACTGATCATTTCTATTTCATCACAAACGAATATTTCATTAACTATTCTTATTCATGATTATCATACTGATCCACAAACATTTATTATGTCATTAAAACAACAACAACAACGAGAGCAATCATCATCATCATTATCTTCAATTCTATCTCCATTATTTTATTTTATTTCTTCGATTTCTCTTAGTATTTTTATTTTATTATTCATTTTTCTTACTTTTTTCTATTTTTATTTGAAACAAAAATCAAAACAACAAAATAACTCATTAATTAATACACCATCAACAACAACACTTTCTGCTCGATCATTATCAACAAATAAAAAAATCTATGAAACATATTATTCATTTGGAGATACTGTTCATCAAGATATTATTCATCTATGAATAATTTTCTCTCTTTCTCTCTCTTTTACATCTCATTTCAATTTTTTTGATGTACTTAATAAATAAATATATGTATATATTATTGTCAGTTTCACTCATTCAATCAATATTCATCTCATATTTATATTCACATTTATTCTTTTAAGATGTAGGTTTATATTCTTTATTGTAAATCATACACAAACTTTTAATATACTTATTGATTAATTGTTATGTTTTTCTGTGGTTGATAATGATCGTTAAAGATCGAAAGTCTCTATAAAAATAAGATTTTCATTACATTTACTTTACAACCATATTTAGTTCAGTGGTACTAAACACGACAACTTTTTGAGTTGATCACTGTCGAATAGAATCCTTTTCTCTAAACATTATTAGATATTACACGTTATACAGTACACTATTATTGGAGAAAAACCTTTCTGATTCTGTATTATCCAACAGAATCATTTACATCAGCATTGCCGAGAGTAAATTCTCAGGTTTTTACTATTATCACAGAGAACCTTTTATTGTTCGGAGTCATCAGGAAAGATCTTTGAGAGTATTGCCGTAACCATACCCGGCATTTTCCGCCATATCTTCACTGAGAACAAGCTTTGAAAGTTTTACTATTGTAATATACAATCTCAGCCTGCTTTTGCATTTGCTACAGTATCACAAAATAATTTACTAAAATCTGCATTGTTTTCTTTTGCATAATTTTCTTTTCATGATAGAAAAAGTTCTATTCAAACATTATCACTTAAATGCAGATTGAGCTGAAAAACAAGTAGTTTTATTTATGATGTTTGTGAAAATTACACTATAAAAAAATATCCGCATGATCATCAGTAGCTATGTGTCCGTTGTTGAAATATGTTTAACATTATTATTTATGATTTTCTAGTTCTTTCATTCCGTGCAACATATTCATTGATTTCATGCTTGACGTTATCTCCGATCTGATTACCGTGGAGACTTAGTGTGGTAAGTGTCTAGATGAAAAAATTTAGGTAAAGACAGGCTGAGATTAAGAGAGAATGCTATTACTGTGTTAAGTCGTAATGTATCAGTCAAATGCTGTGCTCCAACATCTCCGATTCGATTAGATTCGAGATATAGTTCGATGAGTGTCTAGATGAAAAAGTGCAGGTAAAGACATGGTATAGATGAAGAGAGACTGCTAAGTACTCTGTTATGCCGTAGTGCATCAGCCAGATGTTCTGCTCGAACATCTTCGATTTGATTATAACTAAGATCTAGTGTAGTCAGTGTCTAAATGAAACGTGAAGGTAAAGACATCGTATATATAAAGAGAGAATGCTAAGTACTGTGTTATGTCGTAATCCATCGGCCAGATGCTGTGCTTCAATATCTCCGATTTGATTATTTTTGAGGTCTAATGTGGTAAGTGTCTACATGAAAAAGTGAAGGTAAAGACATGGCATGTATCAAGACAGCTTGGTAATTACTGTGTTATGTCGTAATGCGTCACCTAAATGTTGTGCTGCAATAGCTCCGATTTGATTATAATAGAGATTTAGTGTGGTCAGTGTCTAGATGAAAAAGTGAAGGTAAAGAAATGGGTTAGACGAAGAGAGAATGATACTTACTGTGTTATAACGTAATGCATCAGCCAAATGTTGTGCTCCAATAACTCCTATATGATTATTTTTGAGATTTAGTGTGGTGAGTGTCTAGGTGGAAAGGATACGTAAAGACATGGTATAGATGAAGAGAGAATGCTAATTACTTTGTTATGTCGTAATCCATCAGCTAAATGTTGTGCTCCAACAGCTCCGATGTGATTACCTCTGAGACTTAGTGTTGTAAGTGTCTAGATAAAAAACAAGTGCAGGCAGAGACATGATATAAATGAAGAGAGTATGCTAATTACTGCGTTATGTCGTAATCCGTCAGCGAAATGCTGTGCTCCAATAGCTCCAAAATCATTACCTTGAAAGTCTAATGTGATGAGTGACTAGATGAAAATGCGAAGGTTAAGACATGGTATGTACGAAGAGAGAATGCTAGTTACTGTGTTATATCGTAGTCCATCACCTAAATGTTGTCCTCCAATAGCTCCAATTTGACTATATCTGAGATGTAGTGTTGCTAGTGTCTAAATAAAAAGTGCAGGTAAAGACATGACCATATTAAGAGAGAATACTAAGCACTTTGTGATATCGTAATCCATCAGCCAAATGTTGTGTTCCAACATCTCCGATTGGATTACCTCCGAAATCTAGTATGCTGAGTGTCTACGCGAAAAAGTTAAGACAAGAACATGGTATGGATGAAGAGAAAATGCAAATTACTGCGTTATGTCGTAATCCATCTGCGAAATGTTGTGCTCCAATAGCTCCAATATGACTATATCTGAGATCTAGTGTGGTTAGTGTCTAAATGAAAAAGTATACGTAAAGGCAGGGCATATACGAAGAGAGAATACTAGGTACTGTGTTATGTCGTAATCCATTAATCAAATATTGTGCTCCAACATCTCCGATGGGATTATCTCCAAGATCTAGTACGATGAGCATCTACGCGAAAAAGTATAAATAAGGACATAGTACAGATGAAGAAAGAATGGTAATTACTGTGTTATGTCGTAATGCATCACCTAAATGTTGTGCTCCAACATCTCCAAATCGATTACCTCTGAGATTTAGTGTGGTGAGTGTCTAGATGAGAAGTGAAGGTAACGACATAGCATTGAAAAAGAGAGAAGGCTAATTACTGCGTTATGACGTAATCCACTAGCCAAATGTTGTGCTCCAACATCTCCGATGGGATTATCTCCAAGATCTAGTATGATGAGCATCTACGCGAAAAATTATAGATAAGGACATAGTACAGATGAAGAGAGAATACTAATTACTCTGTTATGTCGTAATCCATCACCCAAATGCTGTGCTCCAACATATCCGATTCCATTATTTTTCAGATCTAGTGTGGCGAGTGTCTAAATGGAAAAGTATACGTTAAGATATGATATAGATGAAGAGTGAATGATAATTACTTTGTTATGTCGTAATCCATCAGCCAAATGTTGCGCTCCAATAACTTGGATTTCATTACTTTTGAGACTTAGTGTGGTGAGTGTCTAGATAAAAAAGTGCAGGTAAACACGTAGTACAGATGAAGAGTGAATGATAATTACTGTGTTATGTTGTAATGCATCACCCAAATGCTGTGCTCCAATAACTCCGAATCGATTATCTGTGAGATTTAGTGTGGTGAGTGTCTAGATGAAAAATGAAAGTAAGGATATGGTATAGATGAAGAGAGAATGCTACTTACTGTGTTATGTCGTAATGCATTAGCCAGATGATATACTTCAACAGGTTTGATTCGCTGACTTTGGAGGTTTAGTGTGTTGAGTTTCTAGATAAAAAGTGCAGATATAGGTATAGTACAGGTGAAATAAGAGAGTTGTTGGTTGCTATTATTTTCCCTGCGGTCAAGGTAATGTTTGTTGATATGACTGAGCTGAAGTTAGAATCGAAATCAGTCTGAATACCTGTAGGATTTTAGATTCTGTACAGTAGTCAAGAATGTCGTTTGAAAAACTGGCTTAAAACGCAGTTACTAAAGTTGACGCAAGTATAACTGTTTTTGATCTAGGAGCGGGTGGCGTTCTTAAGTGTTTCAAGACGAAGGAAAAAGTTGTGGTAAATGCGTTATAACGTGGAAACTGCTCCGGCTGGAAACAAGTGTAAGGCTGTGAATTATGTGTTCAAAGCGCAATGCATTGAAATTAATGTTTTAAAGTCCTATAAAGTATGGTGGTTGGCTTGTCAGTATTCTCTAGGTATCACAAAAGATAATGTCTTGTAAGTGGTCGATAGACGAGTTTGTTCGATGGTCTTTGATGTAACTCAATACGGGGTTTGCTTCAGTACTCGATGTGATTTATCTAACTTCGCTTAATTCATGCATATGATTTATCTTGGTGAGAAAACTTATTGATCTCGATGGTTGCTTTCGAGGGTAATATACGACTATATGTATGATGAGCAGAAGACGAATACATGCTAAATTGTCGTACAAAAAATATCCATTATGAATAGTCCTGGACTTCTCAATCTGGTAACGAATTATCCTCGAAATGTCCTGCTTGTGAAAGTTTTGTTTCCAGTTGAAATGCGTTTCAGAACAATTATTGTGAGAAAACATCTGTCTTAGAAGCAATATTTCACTTTGATGATATGGATGTGAGTGGTATGATTGAATGAGAATGTGGATATTATTGTTGATCAATTTTCTTAAAAATTTAAATCCACTATCATCTATAACCAGTCTTCCATGTTCTCAAAGAAATATTTGTTGGAGATGTTCCAAAGGAATATCTACGGTGTCATCGTTAACAAGATAAACTAATTTATACATCATTCAGTTCTTTCAAAATATTGTTTTTATGATCGAAATATTTAAAAAACATGTTTAGATACACGTGTGAAACGAATCACATTGTTTTCTCTTTTTCTTTCCTTCGTATCTAAACGTTATATATTTATGACATCATACCTGGTTTGAAGCGTGGAGTATTCAAAAGAGATTAAATAGAAAGAGAAAAAGAAATTATTTTTATATTATCACGACAGAAAAAATGAATTTTTGGGAAGAGAGTGATAACTGATAAACTATTTTGAGTGGCAGATAGTTTATTCATATGAATTATTGAAGATATTCTATTTAGATAGAGATTGTAGAAATGAAAAATAATTTGACGGACTATACATAAAAATTACACTGGTATGGTGGAAAAAGGTTACCTGATATCGATCGTAACTGTCGACGATGCTGTTGAACCGTTGACATACATTTCTCATTGAGCATAGCATCGTAAGATCCGATTGATGATCCAGAATTCGGTAGACAAGTTCTACCGGTAACGTCAAGAAGGTAGCGATGGTTGGATTTGTCATTATAGACTGCTGCTGAAAGGTGTGCTGTGTAGCTTTGTATGTTGGTTTATATGATGTACTGTTGTTTTTTCTTTCGAACGAATGAGTAAGTGTTTGTTTTGTCATTCGTTTCACATGATGTTACAATTACTTATTGAAAGAGAAAAACGAAAAATAATGACATCATTTTTGACGACAGAATCATGATAGTAAGTATAGTTAAACTTTTTATTATGATTATTTGAGCAATATAAAATGAAATAGAATAAACATAACCATGGCGTTTGTGATTATAGTTAACAAAGTTTGAAGAACTCTCTTTTTCTTTGTCGATGTTCAAAATGTAAATTGTTATTTAATTATAAAATCGAATATAAATATTTTCTAAGATGAAACTGAATTTATCTTTAAGAAACAGAGCTTGAAGAATACATCGAAAAAAATTAAGGCTATTAATTTTATGGTCGATGAATGTTACTACAATCTAATCTGTTGTCAATTAATTTTTTTGAAATATTAACAATATTTTGCTCCATATGTTAAAATAACATTTATTGTTAGATAGTATTAATACAGAAAATAAAAAACAATAATATTTTTATTAAATAATACTACTGATGTTGTTAAAAAATAAATTCAGTCATCTCAATTAAATAACAATAATAGTAATAAACGAATTATATTAAATAATGCAATAATGGCTGCAGCTTTATGGTTACCCTTCAAACTAGAATTTAATGATTGTGTATTATCTCTTGTATATTACAAGATATTGAAATTGAATAAAATAACATAACAGTTCAAAAGTTAAGAATATCTTCTTGTTGTTTACAGATACATCTATTCCTCTTCATATGACCCTACTCTTTTTATGTTCCAAATAAAAACAAATATTTGCAATGTATACAAGTTCATAAATAATTTTTCATTCTCCTTCGTTACATGGATCTTTCCAAATAAAAATGCGACTAGTTTTTTGAAAGAATATTCAAGAAATCGCACGAATTTCATATAAGATTCCGATGTTCAAGGATGAGACAATATCAAATTGGATGTAATTCGTCAATAATTAAAAACACGTTTATTTCTCTCGACTCGAGATGAAAAATACAATTGTAGCTCTTGTGAAATTTATCAGCACATGTTTTTAGAATAAGTATCAGTTAAATGAAAAACAACTATGTTTTTGTCATAGCATATACACTTTCAATTTCTTGGCTATCATAAATTATGGTTCGTTTTATATTTATACCCAGTGTACTATGTTCATATTCATATAGAATAAATATTATATTCCCAACTATTGTCAATAAAATGTGAATTATTTCACTGAAACATTGATTATGATTTGCTGATATGTTCTGGGCATATTGCAAACTTTCAAATTCATTTCAAAGTATTTATTAATTGATTACAATAGTCGATAGAAAATAATGATACATTTTGTTTTCATTATTTATTGAAAAAGAAACATTATGCGAATGTATTTTCTTTTGTGAAAGACGATCTAAACCAAGTGTTGAAATGTTTAGGGGTAAAAATTTGCATTCACTACATCTCCAGCTTCCATCCTCACAGACGTGACCGACATAGTAAGGGATGAACCATATCCCGCAACCGAGACAAAATGTTCCGCTTCACGGAGAAGTTCTGTTACGACCGAAGTCGAAACAACTGAAGTGCAAACGTTCATCGATATCTTCACTCATCAGAAGACATGAAAGAGACAGAGATATGAATCATTTTATTTTTTCACTCCAACAAGATATATGAGCAGGTATGAGTTGTCTCCAGCAGAAGTGAATAAATAATAGTGTGAAATCATCCATCAATGTCACCACTCATATAGAGAAATAGAAGAGACAGCGACGTGACTTATTTAATTTTTCACTCTAAAAAATTATTCTAGCAGATATGATTTTTTATCTTCAGTCTGACAATAAAAAATCATATCTGCTGGTAAAAAATCATA